TAGCAGTTAGGTTAGTGGGGACTAGGCATATGTAGGACTCCTGTGTCCAGTCTTCAAACTATCGCTTTTTTTTTTTTTTTTTGGTGGGACTGGGGCTTAAACTCAGGGCTTCATGCTTGCAAAGAAGGCACTCTATCACTTGAGCCACAACTTCAGTCCACTTTGATCTGGTTATTTTGAAGATGGGGTCTTGTGAACTATTTCCCTGGGCTGGCCTTGAACCGTAATCCTACCAATCTCAGACTTCCAATAGCGAGGATTACACGCATGAACCACCAGTGCCTGGCTAAACTTGCTTGTTGATAGAGATTGCCTTCAGAACCAACTATGTGACTGAGTCCTTTGGAAAGCAGATGTCAAGATCAAGACAAGTGTCAGAGATTTGCGGTGGGTGATACAAAGAGAAACAGTGCAGCAGTGGTTAGGGCAAGTCATGCCATGATGCAGGTCTGACACCTGTAAAAGGAAATGGGAAAGGAAGGATGATTGAGTAGGAAGAGCTTCAGCCTGAGGTGTGTGTAGCTCTGAGAAAATCTTGCCCAGAGGGGCCCATGTTGGGCAGAAATGTCCCATTACCTACATTGTGCTCAGTCATTGGCTGGAGGTTCCTGGGAATAAAATGGCCATGGGTGTGTAGCAACTGGAAGAAAGCAAAAGAGGGCTTCTGAGGTTTTGGTAATGATCTTTTTCTATTTCACAGGTTTTCTTCCAGCGCTGGAGGCCTTGCATGTGCTAGGCACGCGCTCCACCAATGAGCTACAGTCTCAGTCCCATCTCTTTCTTGATCTAAGGGTTTCATGCTGTGTTCATTTTATACATTTTTATCAAACTCACTTTTGATTTGTGAACTTTTATGTATTTGTGGTATGTTTAAATTTTTCAAAGTTCATAGGCCTCTAAATGGCCTTAATAAGGAACCTTAATTAGAATTTAGGAACTCAAACCCTAAATTGGAATAGTCTCATACTCAGAGTAATTTGATGATGTACACAGAAAATTTTAGAAATATATAAACTAATTTTTAGGAATTTATTATATGGAAAATATCATCCAATGTATAAAATTTTAAGTTTAAACATATTCATGGAAGTGTTTGTACCAGTGAATATTTGGAAACAAGCTAAATTTCCATCAGTACAGAAGCTGCTGGGTAGGTCATGGTACAGCCATACAATGTAATATAATGAAACATGTAAAAAATAATGATGAAAATCACCAGAAGCAGTAGCTCAAGCCTGTAATCCTAGCTACTTGAGAGGCTGAGATCAGAAAGATCAAGGTTTGAGGACAGCCCAGACGAAAAGTTTGTGAGATCCTATGCTGATTGGGCATGGTGGCATGTACCTGTCATCTTAGTTATTTGGGAAGCACAAATTAGGACAATAGTGGTCCATGCCAGCCTGGGCAAAAATCGAGACCCTACCTCAAAAATAACTAGAGAGAAAAGGGCTGGAGATATGGTTCAAGTAGTAGGAGTGCCTACCATGCATGAAGTCCTGAGTTCAACCTAGGAACTGCCAAATAAAAGTAATTTAAGAGCGTGTCCTTTACTCTGGATAGTTATCTTCTCCTTAGAGACATGAGACTTAGAAACACCTGGAATTAGAGAATTAGTCTACGTCGAACGACCAGATTGTGAGATCTTTTAGGGCAGGGAATCAAAGTTTATTCAGCTATGTACACCCAGAATCTTTCACGTCATCTAAACATGCTATAGGAGTTTGTGTCAGAGAAACAATTTAGAAGGAGTGAAGCCTTGTTTTGACTCACTGTTTCAGAGGAGTTAGTCACTGGAGGCTGGCTCGATTGCCGTGTGAGCTGTCCTCCAGTCACATTTTCTTACCATCTATCTGTGTTATCTTTGTCAAACTGATTTTTCTAAAAGGAAAATTTAGTCATGCTTCTTTCTCCCTTGAATTGTCTAGTAGCCCTCCTCTGCTGTAGAGTAAAACCCACATCCTTTGTTAGCCTGGCTTACAGTGTCTTCCATGATCTGGTCCTGCTTACCTCACTCACCTTCTCCCGACAATGCTAGAAACTTCCAGTAATGGGGATTGTATTCTTGTCTTCTTTGTAGTTCTGGTAGTTACAACAGTTCTGGGAACCCGATAAAGTTTTCCTAAATTAATGAACTAGGAGATAAAACTCAAAATAGTCTTTAAAGATTAGCCTGGAAGACCTCTTCTGGGTTCTTAAAGTAATTACAGGACACTATGCTGAGCTCATTCATGAGTGAGATTCCTTGCCATTAATACCTGTACCTTCATGGCCTGGCAAGTGCTTAGCACATCGTAGGTATTCAGTAAAAACTGTGTTAACTAACAAGTTGACTAATGATATTGTATTGTATTCAGCCAAGCAAAATTTCTTTCAGAGAATGTGCTGCTCAATTAATTATAAGAGCAACTTACTTAGGAGGAGGAGATGAAAACTCTTCTTTGTAAGGGCCTCTTTGCAAACAAACCAGGCTTCAGGGCAATTTAATCAAGTCCATTTCTCATTGCCCAGCATATGGGCTTGCTGATGGAGAGGGCACCTGTCTTCGTTGAGGTCAGTGGCTCCAGCTTTAGACTTATTAACTGTAACCAAATCTGGCTACAGATGCTGCCAAAACAGGGATATCCCGAGGTGCAGTTACTCGATGCTAATTTTGGGTAAATACCTCTTTGAGTCTTTAAGTCTTTCAAAATGAAGATCGTATGCCCTAATAAATCATAGATACTATTGGAGTTTCCATTTTCAGTGAGTACACTCATACTTTCGTAGTTGGCCTGTGCAAGGCACTTGCTGGAATTTTTAGCCTTAGTCTTATTTGAGGTTCAGAATTCAATATTTTACAAGGTCCTGGAACTTGTTTACAAAGTTGTATATTATGAAAAGCAACCCTGGTGCAATCTAATCCTTCCCTTCGGAGAACTTGTGAGTAAATTTAGTTAGTGAAAGCTTCTGCCAGCATGTTTCTAGCCCAGAGAATAACAAGGTTATCCCCAGTTGCCAGTTGCTTAACTCTCTTGATGCCTCATTTGAAGAAATTCCATTTTGCTGCAGGTTTGAGTCTCTGTGCTATCTTACTCTTGAATTTCCTCCCAGCTGTTAGATTCTCCTGAGCTTTCCTTTCGAGGAAACTCAGTGGCCTGTGGTATAGTGTGCCTTTCACTTAAAATAAAGAGGGTAAGCTGGTTAAATACCAGTATTCAAGACTTTGTAACACTTTTTTTTTTTCTTGACAGGAAGGGAATTAGTCAACAGTATTTCTTAAATAAGGAGACTAAAATTTAATAATCTTCCATCATTAAAATGGAATGTGACTAAATATTCATGCCAACATGAAATGGCCTTTCTTGCTTTCAGTGGCTTCCCTCCACCCCACCCCCAGTCCTAGGGCCTTAAGCTGGCTAAGCATGTACTCTCCCATGAGCTAAACCCCACCCCTTGCTGCTCTCAGTTTAGCTAAAACTTCAACAAATAAAGGCTCAATCTTAAAATGAAACAGGTTTGGTTTTTTTTTTTTTACCCTCTGGGACAGAGAATGAAGAGACGAAAAGGAAGGAGGACAATTTACTCATCTTCTCCAGAGATGACAGAGTGTCATTTACAGTTCTCTAAAAAAATTTATAAGGCAATTTTTAATGCTTCTTTGTGGAGTGGCTTTTTATAGTCCTAAGCTGTAGCCACATCCCAACATCAAAGTGGGTCTTTACACATCACTCCTTCCTGCTATTTCTAAATTATTTATTTTCAGACTTACAATTTTATTTAAGAACTATTTGAATTTCACCTGACTGAGCAAAGCTGGTCAGTTGGTGCCTTCAAAATTGTTCAGGAGCAAATGTGGTCTGCTTGGAGTTTGGCACCTAGGCATAGATGAGGAGTAGGGTTGCCTTGCGGTTAAGATCTTGAAATCTAGTAGGCCGGCAGTGGATCCAGAAGTCTGCCTCACAGATCTCTGAGCAGGTGGATGTGAGCTGCTGGTGAAGGAGGCTGTCCTCAATGTTACTACCTCCTACTGTGCTGTGACACCAGCGGAATAGGGCAGTGGGATGTCTCCTGACCATGGCACTAGCAGGTGTTCCCTACTAGGCTGTGGGCTTGGTTCAGGGTCCAGGATCCAAGTTGGTGCTGTGGGTGCTCAGCGGAGAAGTTTTCAGCCAGAAGCGCCTTTCCACAATGGCCTGAGCCCGTCATGTTCTGGCCTCAACCCGCCAACCCTACAATACTGCTTACCATATCTGGTCTCCTGCCAGAGGCTGGCATGCAGCTGCCAGACCCCAGTGGTGTGCTATGGGGAGACCTGGCATGTCATGAGCATTTCTTCCTTGAGGCCCTGCCTGGAAGTACAGAAATATATGAGGCTTTCCAGTTCTTCTTCTAACCTTGAGGCTCACTGGTGTCACCCCTTGGGGCTGTTCTGAAGAAACTTGTCACTGTGGTCAATAGAACCAGGACATTCACTTTCCTGGGGCTCACCAGGGCCTCTGACAGTGCTGTGCTGCCTTTGTCTTCCCTGCAGGTCAGTAATGCCATCTAATAAAAATCCTACTCCCAGCTCAAGAAAAAAAAAGTCACTAACTGTGAGTTTGTTTTTAACAGAACATTTTCAGTTTGGTCATTTGAAACCAAAAATATGTTAGTTTAAAAATATATCTTTTCCTGCGTTGGAGCTTGGCTCAAGTGGTAGAGTGCCTGCTTAGCAGGCGTGAGGTCCTGAGTTCAAACCCCAGTCCCACACACACACACACACACACACACACACACAAACTTTCCTGAATCAAAAACATACATTGGAGAAAAGACAGCCTCTTCAATAAATGGTGCGTGGAAAGCTGTGGAAGACTGAAACTACATCTCTGTCTCTCACCCTGTACAAAATCAAGTCAAAATGGATCAAAGATCTAAATGTGAAGTCTGAAACTTCGAAATTACTACAGGAAAACATAGGGAAAACACTTTGAGATATAGGCACAGGCAATCATTTTCTGAATAGGATTCCAATTGCCCAGGAAAGAAGAGCAAGCATTGACAAAAGGGTTCTTTCTCAGCCGCCGCCCAGTCGCGCGGAGGTGGAGACCCGGGAGCGGTCAAGATTCGGCTCCACCTGTAATCCCCACCGCCTTGGCCCAGGAAGGCATTGCCGCTGGAGGTGTTACGGATGTTAACACTGCTTTACAAGAGGTGCTGAAGACTGCTCTCATCCACGATGGCGTTGCACGTGGAATTCGCGAGGCTGCCAAAGCCTTAGACAAGCGCCAAGCCCATCTTTGTGTGCCTGCATCCATCTGTAAGGAGCCCATGTATGTCAAGCTGGTGGAGGCCCTTTGTGCTGAGCACCAAATCAACCTCATTAAGGTAGATGACAACAAGAAACTAGGAGACAGGGTAGGCCTCTGCAAAACTGATCGAGAGGGAAAACCCCGTAAAGTGGTTGGTTGCAGTTGTGTGGTGTTTAAGGACTGTGGCAAAGAGTCTCAGGCCAAGGATGTCATACAAGCGTTCTTCAAATGCAAGAAATGAACAGATAAAATTTTTGACTCATTAAAAAAAAAAGAATTGACAAAAGGCATTATATCAAATTACAAATTGTTTCCTTCTGCACATCAAAGGAAACAATTAGGGGAATGAAGAGATAACCCACAGAATGGGAGAAAATATTTGCCAGCTACTCATAGGATACAAGGATTAATATCCAGAATATAAAAAGAACTCAAGAAATTAAACATCAAAAAAACCCATAATCCAATTAATGAATGGACAAATGAACAGTTCTCGGAACAAGACATAGAAATGGAAAATAAATGTATGGAGAAATCTTCAGCATCCTTAGCCATAAAGAAAATGGAAATTAGAGCCACTGAAATTCCATCTCACACCAGTCAGAATGACAATCATCAAGAAAACCAACAAATGCTGATGAAGTGGGGGTGGGGGGCGGGGAGCCCTCTTATACTGTCGGTGGAATGTAAATTAGTGCAGCTAATATGAGCATCAGTATAGCAGGTCATCAAAAAACTCCATATCACTCTTAAGCACATACCTGAAGGAGTGTAAATCAACATACAAGACAGATGCCTGCACACCCGTGTTTACTGGAGCAATGTTCACAATAGCCAAAGTGAAGAATCTGCCCAGGTGCCCAACAACTGATGAACAGAATGAAAATGTGGGATAGATACATCATGGAGTATTGTTCAACCGTAAGGAAGAATTATGAACTAGCAACCATCATGTTGAGCCAGATGCCAAGCTCAAAAGGCCAAATATGCAGAATCTATGCCTAAAATGACTACAACAAGGGTGATGAACATGAATGCTATTGTACAACAGTAGCAAAGACAGCAAAAAAATATCACAAACACTGTCATACTAGGAGGACGTTCTAGGGGGATCAGTGGGAGATGGGTTGGGGAAAGGAGAGGATACTGGGGGTGAGCAGGACTGAAGTATATATATTCAGGACTGTATATATATATATATATATATACAATCATATATATATGACTGGAGACATGGCTCAAGCAGTTAAGTGCCTGACTAGCAAGCAGGAAGCCCTGAGTTCAAACCCTAATACCACCAAAAAAAGAAGGAAAGAAAAAAGAACTAGATGAAGTTAGTATTATGAAATCACTAAATACTGTCTAAAAAGTGGAGAGGAGTGAGTTAGGGAGTATGTAGAGGGGTGAACTTGTTTGAAAGTGTAGCATATTCATCTATGGAAATATTGAAATGAAACCTTATACCATTAATATATGCTAATAATAAAAACTTCTTTTCCTTAACTAAATACTTGGTCAAATGCAGAACACAAGTAATCTGCCACAGCAAAATAAGAACACTACTTGTGTACCTGACAAGCTTAGCTTTCTTCGAGAGTAACATAAATAGGTATGATCTTGACCTTAAGATTCAATCAAAACTCTGAATCATCCAAGTTTATGGAAACTTTGAATAGTTTAATAAATCAGGCTTAGTCCAAAGATAATATAATGTGATTTCAAGTAGGTTGGTAGCAATGAAGAGGGAGAGGTATATAAGTCCAGGTTCTCTGTAGTCAGCCTATAGACATGACATACTATAAGGCGAATAAACTAGTAGGTAACATTTTCCGAGGGACTTCTCTGCAGACAGTAAAAGCATTCAGTGGTGGAGCACTTGTCTGTTACTGCAAATAAGCAAACAACAATAGCAAAGACAGCAAAAAAAAATCACAAACACTGTCATACTAGGAGTAGAACTACTACAATGTCTCTCTTGGAATTCTTCTTTATTTCTTTATACATTAAAAACTAATTTATTACATATTCTACTGTGTGTCATACGCTATGTATTAGGAACTGCCTACACAGTAGTGAGCAAAACAAATATATTTCCTTCTCTTATGGAGCTGGAGAAAGACAATAAACAGGAAATCAAGTAAATCACATATAATTTCACATTTTCTATTTACATATTCAAGAAATGTAAACATGTATATACACACATATTTTTATTTATTCATTTATTGATTGATTGATGCTGGGGATTGAACCCAGGGCCTCACACATGCTAGGCAAATGCTCTACCCCTAAGCTATACCTCCGGCTCCAACCTATGGAGTACACATTATATAGTGGTGGAACGTGAGAAGTTTAGGGAATACAATAGAGAACAAACTAGACTTATGTCTCTCTTCTTTGAGTGTGCCGACTGGAAGAGAGGTAGTTTACCAGAATGGAATGGTTTGAGAGTGAGTGGAAGAGAAGGAAATGGAAGGGCAAGTATACTCATTAGACATTGTGTTAGATACACGTAATGGAATCCGATAACCCTAGCTTATCTAGAAAATAATGACAGAGGATGACAGCTCAGACGGTGAGTGGCTCCATGATACCACTAATCCTAGAATCCTTCTACTTTCTGGCCTGTCATCCTCAGTATGTAGCTTTTTTTCACTGCAAATGCCAATGGCTGCCACTTTCCACTCAGTGTTTCAGATGAAAAGAAACACCAAGGAGAAAAGTCTGGTGTCTTCATTAAGAAGAGAGAAAATGTGCTGTAAATCCCCATCTGATTCAGCTTACACATCATGCCCAGAATCTGTCACATGGCTACTCCCAGCTTTAAGGGAGGCTGGGAAATACAGCTCTATTGCTGGACCATTGCTGCACAAAAAACCCCAAAAATTCAGTTTCTGTTAGAAAGAAGGAGAGATGGAAGGCAACTACAGCAGATGCACAGCAAGTAAAAATCGCACATTCAAAAAGGGAAGGAGAGAGGGAGGTGATAGCTGGAGGGGATTAGATTGAGTGACTTTTTAAACTTTGAGAATTACTTGAATGCATTTAGAGCTAGATAAGAAGTTATCTAATGAGAGTTCTGGGTGTGTGGTGCACATTCTATAATCCCAGCTACTTGGGAGACTGAGGCTATACTATCTCAAAGGCAGCCTGGGCTACAAGACCCTTCTCTCAAAAAAAAAAAAAAAAAAACCAAAACAACAACAAAAAACAGATCCAAACATGATAGTGTAGAAGCAGGGAGGAGATGGAATCTAAATCACGAAACAAGGGTTCACATTGAACAGCAATAAAGCTTGGCTCTCGGATGTAACTACGGGAAGGAGGAAAGGTAGGCTTGTATGTTTTATTAGGAAGATGGGGCTTCTATTTGTAATATAGAGGTGAAGTTAGCTGTTGCCAGCGAGTAGGTAGGGAGCAATGGCCAGAGACTTCAGAAGTTAAAGTTTGAAATAGCTTTTGTGGAGAGTAAATGAGTCATTTGAGCTCAGAAATTTATCAGGAGACATTTCTATGATTGTAATGATACAAATTGTAATCTTCCCCCCAAGTGATCAGTGACAATCACAAAAAGTAATTGTCTTTGAAGTAGCTAATCTGTGGGATCAAACTCTTACAGAATGTAGTGACTTTCTCATGCTCTAACTGTCCTGTTAAATGTCAGTGAGTCTCTATGCTGATCAGATAAGGAAAGTTTAGTGACGCTCACTAGCTGGAGAAATACATGAACAAGGACTAAAATATTGGGCAAAAATGAAAAAGTGGGAACACGAGGATAAGCTATACCACACAGAGAATCCTTGATTTCCCATTTCTGAGAATAGGGAAAAAATTGAATAAATATGTGTTTGTGTGTAAAAGAAACAAATGTAAAGACAAGTTAAGAACAGAGCTCTGAATAAGCCAGCTACAGCTGAAAGTGGGGTTTGATGAACTTTAAACAGCCAAGATGCCCCAGCACTGACGAATGGATTAAGAAAATGTGGTATCTATACACAATGGAATTTTATGCAGCCATGAAGAAGAACGAATGTTATCATTCGCGGTAAATGGATGGAATTGGGAGAACATCATTCTGATGAGGTTAGCCTGGCTCAAAAAGACCAAAAATCGTATGTTCTCCCTCATATGTGGACATTAGATCAAGGGCAAACACAACAAGGGGATTGGACTATGAGCACATGATAAAAGCGAGAGCACACAAGGGAGGGGTGAGGATAGGTAAGACACCTAAAAAACTAGCTAGCATTTGTTGCCTTAGCAGAGAAACTAAAGCAGATACCTTAAAGCAACTGAGGCCAATAGGAAAAGGGGACAGGAACTAGAGAAAGGTTAGATTAAAAAGAATTAACCTAGAAGGTAACCACCCAGCACAGGAAATCAATGTGAGTCAATGCCTGTATAGCTATCCTTATCTCAACCAGCAAAAACCCTTGTTCCTTCTATTATTGCTTACTCTCTCTACAACAAAATTAGAGATAAGGGCAAATAGTTTCTGCTGGGTATTGAGGAGGGGGGAGTGGGAGGGGTGGAGTGGGTGGTAAGGGAGGGGGA